TTTGCTAATGAATGATAGATAATTAGATTAAAATATTACAAAGTACTAATTAATAAATGACTATAGTATTAACTATTCATCTTGAAAAATGACTTTTATACAGTCACTACTGTTAATTTTAAGCATGTAGGTCCCTCATGAAAAATAAATCAAAACTTGAACATTGTCACACTGTAGACTAATACTACAAACTAAACATCAATTCCTAATTTTAACAACACACGCAATTTATACATATACATATATGGTAAAAAAAACACAACATCACATTTTATTACTATTATCTGTTGAACTTACTCTATCAAAGTCATACATGACATTAGTGGTGCTAAGAAGTATTAAGTTAAGATTATTCTCATCACTTTTAAATAGAAATACATAACATTTACAATGTTTCAGGAATCCACGACACTTGACGAAGATGGTTATCCTATTTATAGGAGAAGACAAAATGGAAGGGAAATAGAAAAATCTGATATTATCTTAGACAATCGTCATGTTGTGCCTTATAATCCAAAATTGCTGTTAAAGTACCAAGCTCATATCAACATGGAATGGTGTAATCAATTCAAAGCACTTCGATCAAATACTTATTCAAGTATATCAACAAAGGATATGATCGGATTACTGCAGTTATTGTTCCAACACGCGATGATGAGTCTCCACAAAATGAGACTATTGATGAGATCAAGCAATATCTTGATTGCAAGTATGTCTCACCATGTGAGGCCTGTTTGGAGGATTTTTTCTTTTCCGATTCATGGTAGGTCTCCAGCGGTTGAAAGGCTTTTTTTCACCTTCCCAATGAGCAGTCTGTGTTCTTTAGTGACAATGACAACCTGGATTCGATTCTAACAAAAAAAACTATTAAAGAATCAATGTTTACATCTTGGATGCAAGCAAACAAAATCTATCCTGAAGGAAAAGATTTGACCTATGCAAAATTCGTTTCACGGTTTGTGTATGTAGCTAGCAAGAGGTGCTGGAAACCGCGAACAAAAGGTTACACTATTGGTAGACTCATTTGGGTACCTCCAACCACAGGTGAATTATTCTATTTAAGAATGATGCTCACTGTAATAAAGGGGCCATGTTGTTATGAGGATATTAGGACGGTTGCCAACATTCAATATCCAACCTTTAGAGAAGCGTGTTTTGCTGCGGGATTACTTGGGGATGATAAAGAATATATTGGAGCATTAAAAGAAGTTAAAGACTGGGCATCAGGGCACTATTTGAGAAAATTGTTTGTGACTTTGCTCATATCATGTCCCGTGAGCAGACCTGAGCATGTATGGGAACAAACTTGGCAGTGGTTGGCAGATGGAATTTTGTATCAACAACGAAGGCTCTCAAATATTCAAGGTAGACCACTGATCAATTAAAAATTAAATTTTCACTAATCATTTGTAAAATGACCCTACGGCCCTACCAAAAAATTATAAGATTTGTGAGTAAAAGTATTACCCTAAATTTCATTCACCTTATATTTGAATTCGAATAGAGAACTTCAAGTACATATGATTACTTTACGAGATATGTGTTACTCTTTCTAAATTCCCACTAATTATATAAGTATAAAAATTAGTGAAAGTTGAAATTAATTATTTCCTATTACCATAAATTAGAGTTTTTTCCAGATTACCCCAATCAACTTTTCTTATCTTAGGTATTCAAATAATTTCACGTATCAAGTAACATATAATTTATTTCACCTATCAAGTAACATATAATTTGTCATTCATTTGGATAAAGGAATATATTCAAATAAAAATATTTCATAATTTTAATTGTCTGCATATCTCATTGTCATTCATTTGCATCACTGTGGTAAATTAAATTATTTACAATAAAAACATAATGAGAGTAGACACATACACATGAACATCTTCTTCTAATTACTAATTTGATTGTGTTTATTACATTTGTAGATTTGCAACTTAGTGATCAAGAGTTGCAAAATTTAACTCTTCTGGAGATCGAAAAGTTGATGCAAAAAAAGAGAAAAAGTCTAAAAGACTATCCCTCAATACCATATCCAAGTGGATATATCACGGAACAACTAGGAAATAGGCTTATTTATGCAGAACGTGATTATGATACATCCAAGTTGCATGAGGAGTTCCAAACTTTGTATGCTTCTCTTACTGGTAAGATAAATACAATTCACATCATTTATAAGTCAAATTAAATGAATTTGACTGTCAAAAAGAAAAATGATTTCATGCATATATTTTTTATGCTAATATTGCAGATGAACAGAAAGGCATATTTGACACAATAATGGAAGCTGTGACTGACCAAAAAGGAGGGATATACTTTTTATATGGTTATGGTGGTACAGGGAAAACCTTTATGTGGAGGACATTAGCTTCTGCCTTACGTTCTCAGCGTCATATTGTTTTAACTGTCGCATCCAGTGGTATTGCTTCTCTACTCTTACCTGGCGGCAGAACTGCACACTCTAAATTTTCAATCCCAGTCCCTACTTTAGAGAACTCTACATGCAATATACATCAAGGGAGTGAACTTGCAGAGCTTTTGAAACAGACTAAGTTGATAATTTGGGATGAAGCAACAATGGCTAATAAATTTTGTTTTGAAGCACTAGACAGAAGCCTAAATGACATCATCAACAATGATGGTGATTCTATTTCACCATTCGGAGGAAGAGTGATTGTCTTTGGAGGAGATTTCAGACAAACTTTACCAGTTATTCCTGGAGGAAGCCGTTCAGACATTGTTAATGCTACAATCAATTCTTCATATCTATGGGATGACTGTCAGGTAATAACTCCATTTTAGTACCATAACCAATATGTTTACTGTTACTATAATTTTACAAATACATTTTACCACAATATACCAAAATAACTAACCTAAAAACATTTTAAAAAAATCATTCGTTCACTTTTAGTTTAAATAAAGTACAAGTACTTATATTAATTGTTTAACTATTTCAAATCATCACTTTATAAGTTTTTTAGTAATTACTTCATAAGTTATACTCAATAATAAGTATTTAATTTTTTTGTTTATTGATAGGTATTGTCTCTTACTAAAAATATGCGACTCCAAAACAATTTGGATATGACAAGTGCTACTGAGCTCAAAGAATTTTCAAAATGGATATTGGATGTGGGGGATGGAAAAATATCAGAGCCAAACGATGGTTATGCAGAAATAAAAATTCCAGATGAATTCTTGATTAAAGAATCTGATGATCCAGTAGATGCAATAGTTCGTAGCACGTATCCCAACTTGCTGGAGCAATACCAAAATGAGGAATTTCTCAAGTCTAGAGTTGTCTTAGCATCAACTATTGAAATTGTCGATAAAATTAACGACTATGTTCTTTCAACGCTCCCAGGTAATATTATATAAATTCAATTTTCCTTATTTACTTACAAAATTAATTCTTAAACAAATTTAATAATTAATTTAAGACTACCGAACTTTTATAACTACAGGTGAAGAAAGAGAATATTTAAGTTGTGATTCTGTAGACAAGTCGGATGTAGTTGAAGCAGAAGCATTTGAAGCGTTGACACCAGAGTTTCTCAATTCCTTGATGACATCAGGTCTCCCAAATCACAACATACGACTTAAGGTTGGGACTCCAGTAATGTTGCTGAGAAATATAGACCAGTCAGAAGGATTATGTAATGAAACTAGATTGATTGTCACAAGACTGGGAAATCATGTCATTGGAGCAAGAATCATGTCTGAAGGCAATAGTAGAGATGAGATTTACATACCACGAATGTGTATGTCTCCTTCTCAATCACCATGGCCTTTTAAACTTATCAGAAGACAATTTCCTATAATGGTCTCATATGCGATGACAATCAATAAATCTCAAGGACAGTCACTGGAAAGAGTTGGATTATACTTGCCTAGACCTGTTTTTAGTCATGGACAATTGTATGTGGCATTGTCAAGAGTTCAGAGCAAACATGAATTAAAGATTTTAATACATGATAAGGATGGAAAATCATTAGACACTACCACGAATGTTGTATTCAAAGAGATTTTCCAAAATCTCTAACATGTAAGTTTAACATTTTTTTTACTAATTATTTTATTAACTTACACTTTATGATATTGAGATGTTGTACTTGCTTTTAAGAAGAAATGCAGTTTTTTGAAATAATTTCCTTTTCTAATTAATTAGATCATGATTGCAAATATATCCATCGATTATTTTCCCGTGCATATGCACGGGTACTGTAGATATTAAGGGGGAGTTTTCAATTGTCTCCTTCTCGGTGCCAAATGATGATAAAGCATTCTGAGTGCTTCAGTTGAGGGGGAGCACAGAGAGAAAAGAAAAGAAAGAAAGAAAGAAACAGATCAATGAGAGATATGTCTCAATGGCCTAGTAAACTCAACTAAGCCTATTCAAGGGACAAAGCCGAGAGTGACTGAGTAATTGAGTGAACAATATGAAGGTGAGGAAGCACAATGCTCCAATGAGCAAGAAAACAATAATCAACGATGAGTCTGCTACCGTGACTTCGCTATCAGTCGATGAATCAACCATAGTCACTCAAATACTACAAACAATCACCATAGGTTCAAGACTGATTTAGTCAGATCTCAGGTAGCAGTTGTTGCATCTTGTCCAAACAGCGCATGCACAACCCTTCCCTAGACTACTCATTTCTCTCGCAATAGATAGATGTGTAATGAAATTTCACGGGAACATCATCTCTTATCACCGTCTTCTTCTAGGGTGACTGATACTGACTACAGTGACTACAACACTGAAGTTTCATTGATCACGTCATTGAAATAGTGCATTACACATTATTGATACATATTCACACCATATTCATTAAAATATACTACATATTTTATTTATTTAAACATATTTTTTTTGATCATATTTATTTAAACATAATTACACAATCCTTAAAAAAACATAATTACACAAAGATCATAAAATGAACCTAATTACACAAGGGTGTCTCAGGCGATTTCCGAGAACCAGACCTAAAAAAAAAATGTGTCGTCTCCAGCCCTAATAAATGTGTCGTCTCCAGACCTAATAAATGTGTCGTCTCCAGCCCAATTCTCACACAAACGTAGATTGCAGGTGCAGCGTAGAGAGAGCAAAGATGAGTGGAGGAGCAATAAGGAACAAAGTGCAGAGGAAATTCAAAATGAGGGGCTACACTCTCAAAGTGGATGCCCTGTCGGAGGTCCTCTCGTTCCTTGACCGTTTCCCGTCCGACTCCCACGACGAAGCACTCGACCTCCTTCTGGACGAGCTCCAACACCTTTCCCGTCCGTACTTTTAAACACTCCAGTTGAATATTTCTGCTCAAATCGACCTGATTATTCATATCAGTTTAATTCGACTGCATTTTGATTTGTCTCCGCAGTGAAATCTGCGATTTTGGACAAGGAGCCTGTGCACAAAGTCGTGAGCCTATTACTGGAAGCAGAAGCTCCCGTCGAGGAAAATCCTAGCAGCTCCTGCTCCCCTGCATCAGCGCTTCGAGTCATTGATGCATTTGATGCCCCAAAATTGAGATATGATCCAGTCAAGAAAATCTTCTATGAGTACGGCAACAAATCATGCCAATCATTTGTTAATTTTTATTTTGATATTTCGTTCGACCCCAAGTACATCTGCGTATCTAATTTAAAGTTTATCTCTCTGTTATTTATTGTCACTTCAATTTTCAGTATGATTATGCAGCTGCCATGGTAGATATATTCGGACATTATGGTTTCCTTTAAATAGCAAGTTGGAGTTTTTTAAATTAGTGTTTCAAATAAACTATACCTAATTACATATCTGTATGAGAATGCCTTATACAACCATATCTTTATGTTTTGATTATGTTTTTCTTTAATGTACATGAATTAGTGGTGTTGTGATATGAAGCTTCTTCCTTTTTTCCTAACTGTCTTACACTTCATGGTTAAGTGCACTGTATGGTTGTACCCCAGGTACTGATTCTTAGAGAATGTATTGGTTCATGTTAGCCGACCCCAATATCTTTTGGGACTAAGGCTTGTATGTTGTTGTAGAGAATGTATACTTAAATGTTTTTTAAAAAGTGTTGTCATATACTCATATACAATTCCCTTTGCTACTTAAATGACTGGGTTTTGTTTCCATTCTTATTATCAACTTATACTAAAGTGTGAACATTAAAACTGGAAAACCCGTGATTGTCAATCACATGGACGTTCTTTGGTTTTTAGGCATGCAGGGAGGCTTCCAATTCAGGGTGATGCCTCTGCAAAAGCCACCTTATACAAGGACAGATTCCTGATGTCTTTCCAAAAGCTTTCTCGTGATCCTCGCTTTTCCAAACCTGCTTTTGGCAGCACCATATCTGAGTACGGCAGCTGCGAGGTAAGCAGTTATGAGATGCTCCCTCCCGGAATAGGAAACACACATAAATAACGGATACACTAACTTCAAATTCAGCTTCTGATAATTTTGCTTATAGTAATAAATTTGATGTTGGCCATTGGCAGATATCTCCAATCCAATCCCTGGTTGGGCAGATAGGAAGAAAATGGGTTATGGGTGTAATATCTCAATTGGAAGATGGTCATTTCTTCTTGGAAGATCTTAATGCAGCGGTGGAAGTCAATTTATCTGAATCAATATCCTTTTTCCCTCTTGAAGCTCATCCATCATGTAGCTTTTTCATGAAAACATGTTTCCTCGATAGAAAGGATCATTCGAATACACAGAATGGAGTACCTAAATAGCAACCACTGTAGACAGAGAAATAAAACATTCAGCTAAAAACCCTTCGTAATTCTATTTTTTTTGTAATCCATTGATTCTTAATTTCTACTTTGCATCATCATCAAATTCCATCTATTTATTTCTTTCACTTGAACTTACTGTTTATTTTATAGTTGAAGTTGACACTAAGATGTGAATTTTCCTTCACAAGGTATACAAAATAACAACAGGATTTTTTGTAGAAAACACAATTGTCCTAGCCGAAGGTGAAATGCAGCTGGATGGTGTTTTTAAGGTCTGATTTCCTTTCTCGTCTTGTACATGTCTTAAATTTACTTTATTAGTTTGCTTTGTTTTGCATATTGTGAATATAAATTGCTTTATTGGACAATCCCAATTTTTAACTTCAGTTTTAATACTCCGTATTTGATTTGAAAATCTATTCTGATGAAAATAGTAAGGACCCTTTTCACATACTGAAACCGTTTGAAGGCAATAGATTGCCATATGTGAGCTTACATGTACAGCGTGTAGGTGGAATTTATAGATGCTGCATTCATAATTATTCTATTGCTGTTTCGTCACACTGATTGTAGGCGGATAAGTTATGGTTCAAATTCTTTGATGTTATACATATGGAGTATGGTGGTTTTCTTTTTACTCCAGGGGAGTCTCGGGGAGGGGGGTTGGGGGGTTCAGCAATAATCGGGGCTGAAACTCATTCCATTGAGTTTCGAACCCGAGACCTTTCGTTAGGGAGAGTGAGTCGGCGACCAACTGGGCTCAACCGCTTCCTCTGGTGGAATTTATAGATGCTACATTCATAGTTATTCTATTGCTGTTTCATAATACATTTGTCTTGCTACTGTTCAACCAACATTATTAATCATATGTAGACATTTTTGAAGTGGAACTGTATGGTAACATGAAATTCATATGTAGTACGGAGTATCTGTTAAGTCCTGATCAAATTGAATCACTTGTAAATGACCACATATACACATAACTAAAAGAATCATAATAACAATAAAGAGCAAAGTGAATGAAACTTCATGAAGAGTTTATCCCACATAGGCTAGATATGAAATAAAAAAGTATGTAGTAATATATAAGATCTTGGTTTAGCCCTATCAAGTTTAGGGGAGCTGTAGTGTACTATCTAGCACTCAAGTTATCCTTTCCAGAATGAGCTGAGACGTGTGTAAGTGTTTCACATCTGATGCTTACCATATCTAAAACTAGTACGCAGTATATAAGTATGGGAGCAATCTTAGTTCTTAAGTTTTTCTTTGTGCGAGTTAAACCCAGCACAACAAAACTACAACATATATTAGAAAGAACTATCATGTCCCGTCCATATCAATTAGAACTTGATTGAGTTTAAGTTCTTTTAACTTGCCTCATTTATGGATCAAGATTCGAACTTTGTTTGCAAATATGTGTGTGCAGAGTTGATGCTGTTGGGGTTCATGTCATTGCTATTGACTGTGTTCCAAGGTCGCATAAACAAGATATGTGTGCGTCCCAATACAATGCATCACATGCTCCCCTGCCCTTTAGCTCAGGAAGAAGCCTTTTTAGCTGCTGAATTGGCTCCTGTTTCCCATGACGAAGAGTTCCATAGCTGGAAGTTGCCTCCTGAGCGAGTACCAGGCACTGGTTATTGCGTTGCGAAGGTAAAAAAAGTCTTTTTTATCTTATGTGTTGTAGTTCGGTTGTGTTGGGTCTAACACACACCAAAAAAATATCAAGAACTAAGATTCATCCCATGCTTATGTATTAGTTTTAGATATGGTAAACATCCAATGTCAAACACTTAAATGCATCTGATCTCATGCTGGACAGGATAACTTGAGTGTTAGAAAACAAGACAAGTACACTACAAAGTCATGATGAGTTACCCAAGATCTTATGTGTTGGCTTATTATTTCATATCTAGCCAATGTGGGATAAACTCTTCAAGAAGTTTCTTTCACTTTGTTCTTTATTGTTGTTATGGTTCTTTTAGCTATGTGTATATGTGGTATAAGCCAATAGTAAACCTAGAACTTAGAATTGTATATAGCTAAGTGCTTTTCCTTTCATAAATATTAGTCATTTCAGCTAAATAATCGTTACAAAACTGCACTGAGTAGAGCTTATATTTCAAGATGTTTTTTTTTTGCTTCATCCTTAGACTCTGCCACTGGTCATAAGTCAGGATTGTTATTTCACTAGGGGAGTCAAATATACTTTTTTACGCTGGTTCAGCCTAACAATGAATACAGTACACGTTTTTGCAGCATAAAGTTCCATTACTATCTCTAGAAGCATTACACCATCTCCACATGTTTAACTAGGCATCTGCTAGTTAATTGTTACATTTTTCATTAAAGCATAAACTAGTTAATTGTTACTTTTTTCATTAAAGCATAAAACTAGTTAACTTTTACATTTTTCATTAAAGTATAAAAGTAGTTAATTGTAACATTTTTCATTAAAGCATAAAACTAGTTAATTGTTACTTTTTTCATTAAAGCATAAAACTAGTTAATTGTTACTTTTTTCATTAAAGCATAAAACTAGTTAATTGTTACTTTTTTCATTAAAGCATAAAACTAGTTAATTGTTACATTTTTCATTAAAGTATAAAAGTAGTTAATTGTTACATTTTTCATTAAAGTATAAAACTAGTTAATAGTTACATTTTTCATTTCCCTATTATTTAATTTGTTAATTGTTGCATTCATCATAAAAGTAAAAAACTAGTTAATTATTAATTGTTGCATTAAAGTATAAAAGTAGTTAATTGTTACATTTTTCATTTCCCTATTATTTAATTTTTTAATTGTTGCATTTTTCATAAAAGTTAAAAAACTAGTTATTTGTTAATTGTTGCATTAAAGTTTAAAACTACTTAATTTTATTAGTAAGTGGATTTTTGGAAATTTGCTATAATTTTATTAGTTGCATTTTATTATTACTATTGTACTCATATTAAAACATTTGATATCATATAATATTTGTTACATTTTAAAGATGGACCGTGGCAGACATTCCGTAAATATGGGTAATCTCCAACGCAATCGAAGGAAGGAGATTGCGACAAGTCATCCTAGTTTACGCGAAGGCAAAGGTAAAGGGCGGGCTGGGTCTTCTTCTCAAAGTCGAGAAAATTTTGATGACGGATACCAAAGGCGAGATGAGGATGCGATGTCCGACGAGTAACTACAACAACTATTGGCGCAAAATGATGGTCGCTTTTTTCAACAACAAAACATCTCGGAGTCCATTGATGAAGAGGAGCTCGAGGATGACAATGTGTAGGAGGACGAGGGGGGCGACGGGACTCACGGCACCCCGGATGATGAGCAAGAGTTGGAGGATGAGGGCGGTCCATCCCAAGTTGGTAAGAAATCTAAATCGCCTATTATAGAAAATAATTTTACAAAGAGGAAAGACCCAACAACCGATAAATGGTACGCAAGTTGCGATCATTGCAAGGAGTATAGCTTGGAACTTCCGGCGAATATGGGAGCCTCAAAAGGCATCTTAAGTCCGCGCACTCTGTGGAGTATGTGAAAATAGACAAAGGCAAGGGGAAGCAAACTCAAATATCGAGGTTTGCAAATGACCAACCTTTTGGCAATTTCTCATACACTGATGCACAAAATTTGACTGGTATGGCTAACTTACTTGTTGAAAAAAATTTGCCTTATTTGTTTTCTGAAAGTCTTGCTTTTAAAGATTATACACAAACTAGTTTAAATCCTCAATTTAGAAGTTATTGTAGCAAAACAGTTAAGAAAGAAATTATAAGGCTTTATCGTGCGGAAAAGGATAGGTTACAAAAAAAATTGCAAACTTTAATGGCCGTGTAACTATTTGTTCTGACATTTGGGAGGATACTAATCATAATTTACATTATTTGGGCCTAATTGCACATTTTATTGATAATGATTGGAATTTGCATAAACGTGTTCTTGCTTTTCGTGAATTTAATGATCGTCACATCGCTGAGCATATTTATATTTTGATTGAACGTATTTTAACTGAGTATAATTTGATTGATAAAGTGTTTGCTATAGGTTTTGATAATGCTACTAATAATACCGTTACTATACGTAGATTGCGTGAATTGTGTGGTTCTAATACTTTGATGAATAGATTTTTTCATCAACAATGTGCATGCCATATTATAAATTTATGTGTGCAAGACGGTTTAACAACGTTAGAAGATGCTATGAAGGTAGTCAAGGGGGGGATTAGACGTATTTGGGGCAATGGTCAACTTAATTAAAATGACAAAGTTATTTAATGAAAAAATGGCTTAGATATTACTTCCGGAGTTTGGTTAGACAAAAATATGCCTGATTTAAATCTGGACAAAAAAGTGAATAAAAAAGAAACCATCCGCCTCTCTCTCGACATTTCTTCTTCGCAGAATCGCAGGCTTCTTCCTTTCTAGCCAACAGACCTTGCAAGGCTTCTTCCTATTTACCCAACTGATCGACTACCTTCTTCTTCGCCCCCTTTGTTATTCCGCCGCCGCCGACCTGCCGCAACTCTCCCCCTCCTTCTCTATCGATTGCAACTGAACTCGACCTCCTCCTCCATCATCCTCGATGACCGTGCCTCCACTGAAACTGTCGTCCTCGATGGGAGACGCCTTCTCCAGTGCCGGATCCGGCTTCCTCAGTAGCTGACGACTCGTTTTGGGGCCTCCAAATCTGGATCCGTCGAGCTCGGTGACAACCACTCGGATTTGGCGCAGCAAATGCCGAATCCGCCGTCCTCAATGTTGGGGGTTGGGGCTGGATGAGGATCCGGTGCGTAGTGGGGATCTGGTGCGCAAGGATAGTGGCTAGGAGTGGTGCTAGGGGCTGGGGATCTAGTGTGTTGCCTTTGATAGTTTGGGACGGACTGGAAGCAAGGTGTGGCTGGTGGAGCTGGTGTGCGGCATTGCTAGGTCGGGATCGGGGTTAGGGCATTTCAGATATGGTTTGGTCGGAGCAGGGGCTGGGAGGGTTGGAACAGGGCAGGCCAGTCGGAGTTAAAGCTAGGGAGGTGGTGGGGCAGGTCGGGGGCGGACCTAGATGGTACTAGGGGCTATGGAGGGGGTTTGCGGGCTGGGGAGGGGTGGCCGGAAAGTGGTGGCGGTGGATGGAGTTAGCGGGCCAGTCACTTTGTCGGGTGGCGGCTACAGTGACACGGGCGGTGGCTACAGTGACACGGGTGGTGGCTACAGTGACACGGGCGGTGGCTACAGTGACACGGGCGGTGGCTACAGTGACACGGGCGGTGGCTACAGTGACACGGGCGGTGGCTACAGTGACACGGGCGGTGGCTACAGTGACACGAGCGGTGGCTACAGTGACACGAGCGGTGGCTACAGTGACATGTGCGGTGACTATAGTGACATAGGAAGTGGTTACAGTGACAGCGGCAGTCACTTTTTTGACTTTTTGAAAAATGGTCACATTTGAGGAAAGTGGCTTTAATTTAGTAATATTGAAGGCAAAATCCCTTATTTAATTGAAAGAGGTGTGAAAAATGTTGCTTTTCCTAAAGATTTGTCTATTCGGTGGAATAGTACTTATAAATTAATTAAAGTTCTTCTTAGATATAAAGAACATTTTCCTACTTTTTTAAGACAATATGATAACTATATTTTAAACTCCGCTCACATCGACTCGGCAGGTGACCCAGCCCAAACCAGCACCAGGCGAATGACGGGCCAATTCCGGGCCCCCCATTCCAGGACCGGAGGCCTGACCAAGCCAAGGCCCGGCCCGGGCCCAAACCAGCCCGAGTCCAAGTCTAATTATAATCCATGCAAACGTTTTATTAAGTTTTTTTCGTAAGTCTTATTAAGTTAAAATGTTAAACGTCCGTTTTCTATTTGAATATTGCCACAAGTCCATTTATAATAGCAAGTTATATTACGTACTTAAGAATGACGATATAATTAAAAGTGGAAAAATTATTATTTATTATTAGGCCACTATTATGAGTTTTTTACATGAATATTATCAAAAATATTTGGGGTTACAAAAATATGACTATTAATGAGGAACTCATACGGCACCATGGGAGTAAAAATAGGGTAAATAGTCATATTTTTGTTAGTGGGGTTTAAAGTAGTTATATTTATGTAATTTCAACTATTATCATGATCCATTTTATTATAACAATTCTGATTATCATCATTACTGTTAAGGAAAATGATTAAATAAACTATTCAGTCTAATCTACTATTTCCAAATTTCAATCTATTGTTTCAACACCTATAGTCCTATACTAAAATATGTTGATTCAGAATAATGTTATAGTGATTTTTTTTTCTTTTTCAGAATAATTTTTTATAGCCACTTAAATAAGTAATATATATTATATTAAAAAAAACTAGTTTTGATCATAAAAAACTAGTAAATGTAGAATGACAAAGTTCAAAGTAGGGGTGGACCCGGGCCGGTTCGGGCCCGGTTCGGGCTTGGGCCCGGCCGGGCCTCGGGCCAGAAAACTGGGGCCCGAGCCCGAACCGCCGGTGGCCGGTTCCGGGCCAAACCGGGCCAGGCCAAACCGGTCCTTTTTTTTTGTTCTCTTATTTAACTCCCTACCCCTCCCACTCCATCCCAAACCACCTCAAATGGCCTAAAATACCTAATCCAACCCAAAACTTAAAAAAATTTAAAAAAAAAAAATTAAAATCCGGCTCGGACCAGGCCCGAACCGGCCGGGTCGGTTCACCTAAAGCAGGGCCCGAGCCCGGACCGCCCATCACCCGGGCCGGGCCAAATCGAACCGATGGACCCACCGGGCTGGTTCCGGGTCGGGCCGCCCGGCCCGATTCCACCCCTAGTTCAAAGTTTAACAGTAACTGAAATGTCCAAGTAATAACAATATAAGAGTAGTCATGTTAAGAGAACACACTGTGCACAAACCATCTCCCATTCTATCCAACAAGCTAACTGGAGTGGCTTGGGAACCAGAAAAAATGAGGTTCTGGTTTGCAGATAGAAGTGTCGAAGAAGAATATTCTTTCTTTAAGCAGAAAGGACAAAAACTAAGAAGCTAAGAAGAAGAAGAAAGTTAGTGAACATAAAAAAAATTAGTAGATGAAGTACAAAATCAACTTAGATATGGAAGTGACAACCTCTAATTTGATCATAAAAGTGTGGTAGGGATACAATCAAGTCTTGTGGCGTAGGATATGTGCTCCATCTACAACTCTCGTACAAAAATGTTTTTGCCATGTATAATCAAAACATTCCTTTAAAAGCTCAAATCTGCCAATCACATGACAGTGTTGTTTGCTTATAATTGAAGCCGTTAACTGTAAATTTTTGACATGAAAATATTACAAACTAAATAATATGAAGCATAAAGAAAAATTAAGTGATAAATAAATGTCCATTTGCAATAATCAACTTACCGATTCAAACTTGGAATTAGCCGGATAAGGATGACCGGTGTTCACATCATAAACCACATTATCACCACTGGCTTTCATTATTGTACAATATGCGTTAAACATCTCATTCGCATTCTTCAATGTTACGTATATCTAGGAAGTAATTTTTATAATTAAAAATATAATTATGTTGTATTGCACTACATGGTAAAAATAAACTTATAAAAGTAGTAAATACTAATTATATTAGTATTAGTAGTTAAAGGTTACTAACCTGAGCAAAGGCTAAATAAGACCTGGTGTGTTTATCAAAAGATGTGAAGTTAGCAATACTTTCACAAGCATCCCTCTCATAATTGGGTTCTTTGTATGTTCTCTTCAATGATGTTTGCAATGTATACCAGCGAGCCGCTTCCAAAATTATCTTTGCTTTAGTTGAATGTAATGGAAAGCCATGATCCACCTAGTAAAATTGCTAACATTGAAATACGGAAAAAATGATATTACTTGTATGCAACCATTTAAAAATATACTTACATTTAAATTAAGAAAGTCGACGTGAGATGGTGTTGGTACTTGGTTCACAAGTTTGCTTTTTTTTGCCACTTGGGTAAGAGATATTTCCATATTTGTCGACTCTTTAATCTTCTTTAGAATCCACATGAATAAAATGAGATCCAAGAAAAAAATAATTAGTGACTTCCAAAAAGAAAAAGTATTATAAAAATTAATGAAAAGGACAAGTCAAGTACTAAACTGAAATCATGGAAAAAGGCAAACACATTTAGGAGCAGGTCTGACCCAATGTATCCTACCTATTCATATCACAGTGCATGCGATTAAGGACAATTACTTATCACAATTCACAATGGTTCTATCCTTGGTCCTTAAAAAGCACAATTTGATGTATATGTCTTTGTTCGTATCACGTAATTGATTTAAAAGTCTTATGTCACGTATTGCCAACTACACAAATAGTAGTTATAATAGAGTTTAATTTAAAGATGACACTATTGATTAAACTTTAAAGCCTTAAATTCGAACTTTGTAATTGTGATTTTGTGTATCTGGAGTAATAGGAACCCATTAGTATAACAATAACTAATAATAATAGAAGTATGTTAAATAATTGTGATAATGTAGCAAAGGGTTCTGGGCTAGGTATTAGTTAGTATTGGGCTTACCCATAAGTATAAATAGAAGGGAAGGAGAAATAAGAAGGCAGGCAAGTATTTTGTTGGATTTGGCTTGGCTAGGAGATTGGGCATCTTGAATCGTTCTTGTATCCCTTACGTTCGGTTCTTACTATTGAATAAAGCTTACGATCTATTCTTCTACCATTCCTACTGATTTCTATATTGTTCTGAGTATCAATTGCCAGTGTCCTAACATGGAATCTGGAATAAGGAGAATGTGCACACACTAGATGCATATATAAAAAATTAATAACGTAGGAATTGGCAACCTAGTGTGCACACACTAGATGCAT